GAGGTCGGGATTATTTTCCTCGTCCCACAGATGAGGAAACTGTAGCCCAGAGAAGTTTATAAACTGACCCATGGTCACACAGTAAATAGCAAAGCTGAGGAAATCCCCAGTGGCTCAATGGTAAAGAATCTGCCTGCAATGCAGGAGACAAAGGAGACAAGGGTTCAGTTCCTGGGTCAGGAAGGTCCTCTGGAGAGGGGCACGACACCCCAGTCCAGTGTTCTTGCCAGGAAAGTCCTATGGACGGAGCAGCCTCCCAGTCCTATGGACGAGAGTCCATCCGCATGTCACACAGTGGGCACGACTGAGGGCTGACCACAGCACTGAGCACAGAGGAAAAGCGATAGCAGACAAAGAGGCAAAAAAATGAAACTGCATTTCCCCTACAAATTAGCCTGGTTAAATGACAATAACCAGTTTAATGAAGTGATACAACTGTGAGTTTTTTGTTTTAAATATTTGTTATTATTTATTATTGCCCTGCCGCGCTTAGTTACTCAGTCGTGTCCGACTCTTTGCAACCTCATGTAGCCTGCCAGGCTTCTCTGTCCATGGGGATTCTCCAGGCAAGAATAATTTTAAATAAAGTAAAATCATTAAAAATAAAAGGAAGAAATGGGCAGGATGGTAGTTTTTAAAACAAGTCCTCAAACACTTTGCCATCCCTCTCTGAGAGAAGAGCTCCATGTTTCTGCCCTTTGAATGTGAGTGGGGCTATGACAGCTCTCAGCAACCCCATAGCAGAAGGGGGTTGTGTGTCTTTGGTGGCTGGATCAAAAGAGGTGGCACAGCTTCCTCCTGGCTTCCTGTTTTGGGATTCTTGCTCTGAGGAATGCTAGCCACCAAGCTGTGAGTCCTACTTAGAGAGAAACAAAGGCCCCTGCCAACAGACACAGTCCACTGCCGGATTTCAGGTGGTTCCAGCCCCAGAACCTTAGACCCTTCCACCAGAGGCCCCTGACATGGCCAAGCAAAGATAAACCACAAGCTTTGTCCTGTCCGGATGTCTAACCTCCAGAATCCTCCATGAGCGTAAAAAATGGTTGGATTTCACGGTTGTTACTACTGTTGTTATTGCTTGGTTTGTGGTGGCTTTTTCTTTTTTTTTCTCAGAAATTATATAATAACAATTTTCTTGTCTAACTTAATGAAACTAAGTCATACCATGTGGGGCCACCCAAGATGGACGGGCCATGGTGGAGAGGTCTGACAGAATGTGGTCCACTGGAGAAGGGAAGGGCAAACCACTTCAGTATTCTTGCCTTGAGAACCCCATGAACAGTATGAAAAGGCAAAAAGATAGGCCACTGAAAGATGAACTCCCCAGGTCGGTAGGTGCCCAATATGCTACTGGAGATCAGTGGAGCAATAACTCCAAAAAGAATGAAGGGACGGAGCCAAAGCAAAAACACCACCCAGTTGTGGATGGGACTGGTGATAGAAGCTACCAATGCTATAAAAGAGCAATACTGATAGGAACCTGGAATGTTATGTCCATGAATCAAGCCAAACAGGAGATGACAAGAGTGAACATTGACATTCTAGGAATCAGTGCACTAAGGTGGACTGGAATGGGTGAATTTAACTCAGATGACCATGATATCTACTACTGTGGGCAGGAATCCCTTAGAAGAAATGGAGTAGCCATCATGGTCAACAAGAGAGTCCAAAATGCAGTACTTGGATGCAATCTCAAAAACGACAGAATGATCTCTGTTCACTTCTAAGGCAAAACATTCAATATCACGGTAATCCAAGTCTATGCCCCGACCAGTAACGCTGAAGAAGCTGAAGTTGAACGGTTCTGTGAAGACCTACAAGACCTTTTAGAACTAACACTCCCAAAAGATGTCCTTTCATTATAGGGGACTGGAATGCAAAAGTAGGAAGTCAAGAAACACTTGGAGTAACAGGCAAATTTGGCCTTGGAGTACGGAATGAAGCAGGGCAAAGGCTAATAGAGTTCTGCCAAGAGAATGCACTGGTCATAGCAAACACCCTCTTCCAACAACACAAGAGAAGACTCTACACATGGACATCACCAGATGGTCAACACTGAAATCAGACTGATTATATTCTTTGCAGCCAAAGATGGAGAATCTCTATAGAGTCAGCAAAAACAAGACTGGGAGCTGACTGTGACTCAGATCATGAACTCCTTATTGCCAAATTCAGACTTAAATTGAAGAAAGTAGGGAAAACCACTAGACCATTCAGGTATGACCTAAATCAAATCCCTTATGATTATACAGTGAAAGTGAGAAATAGATTTAAGGGACTAGATTTGATAGAGTGCCTGATGAACTATGGACAGAGGTTTGTGACATTGTACAGGAGACAGGGATCAAGACCATCCCCATGGAAAAGAAATGCAAAAAAGCAAAATGGCTGTCTGTGGAGCCATAGCTCCTCAAATAGCTGTGAAAAGGAGAGAAGCGAAAAGCAAAGGAGAAAAGGAAAGATATTCCCATTTGAATGCAGAGTTCCAAAGATTAGCAAGGAGAGATAAGAAAGCCTTCCTCAGCGATCAATGCAAAGAAATAGAGGAAAACAACAGAATGGGAAAGACTAGAGATCTTTTCAAGAAAATTAGAGATACCAAGAAACATTTAATGCAAAGGTGGGCTCGATAAAGGACAGAAATGGTATGGACCTAACAGAAGCAAAAGATATTAAGAAGAGGCGGCAAGAATACACAGAAGAATTATGCAAAAAAGATCTTCATGACCCAGATAATCACAATGGTGTGATCACTCACCTAGAGCTCGACATCCTGGAATGTAAAGTCAAGTGGGCCTTAGAAAGCATCACTACAAACAAAGCTAGTGGAGGTGATGGAATTCCAGTTGAGCTATTTCAAATCTTGAAAGATGATGCTGTGAAAGTGCTGCACTCAATATGCCAGCAAATTTGGAAAATCAGCAATGGCCACAGAACTGGAAAAGGTTAGTTTTCATTCCAGTCCCAAAGAAAGGCAATGCCAAAGAATGCTCAAACTACCACACAGTTTCACTCATCTCACATGCTAGTAAAGTAATGCTCAAAATTCTCCAAGCCAGGCTTTAGCAATATGTGAACCATCAACTTCCAGATGTTCAAGCTGTTTTAGAAAAGGCAGAAGAACCAGAAATCAAATTGCCAATGTCTGCTGGATCATTGAAAAAGCAAGAGAGTTCCAGAAAAACATCTATTTCTGCTTTATTGACTATGCCAAAGCCTTTGACTGTGTGGATCACAATAAACTGTGGAAAATTCTGAAAGAGATGGGAATACCAGACCACCTGACCTGCCTCTTGAGAAACCTGTATGCAGGTCAGGAAGCAACAATTAGAACTGGACATGGAATAACAGACTGGTTCCAAATAGGAAAAGGAGTACGTCAAGGCTGTATATAGTCACCCTGCTTATTTAACTCATATGCAGAGTACATCATGAGAAACACTGGGCTGGAGGAAGCACAGACTAGAATCAAGATTGCTGGGAGAAATATCAATCACCTCAGATATGCAGATGACACCACCCTTATGGCAGAAAGCTCAACATTCAGAAAACTAAGATCATGGCATCTGGTCCCATCACTTCATGGCAAATAGATGGGGGAACAGTGGAAACAGTGGCTGGCTTTATTTTTCTGGGCTCAAAAATCACCACACATGGTGACTGCAGCCATGAAATTAAAAGATGCTTACTCCTTGGAAGGAAAGTTATGACCAACCTAGATAGCATATTAAAAAGCAGAGATATTACATTGCCAACAAAGGTCTGTCTAGTCAAGGCTATGGTTTTTCCAGTGGTCATGTATGGATGTGAGAGTTGGACTATAAAGAAAGCTGAGCACTGAAGAATGATGCTTTTGAACTGTGATGTTGCAGAAGACTCTTGAGAGTCCCCTGGACTGCAAGGAGAACCAACCAGTCCATCCTAAAGGAGATCAGTCCTGGGTGTTCATTGGAAGGACTGATGCTGAAGCTGAAACTCCAATCCTTTGGCCACCTCATGAGAAGAGTTGACTCACTGGAAAAGACCCTGATGCTGGGAGGGATTGGGGGCAGGAGGAGAAGGGGACGACAGAGGATGAGATGGTTGGATGGCATCACTGACTCGATGGACATGAGTTTGGGTAAACTCCGGGAGTTGGTGATGGACAGGGAGGCCTGGCGTGCTGCGATTCGTGGGGCCGCAAAGAGTCGGACGCGGCCGAGCGGCTGAGCTGAACTGGACCGAAGCTAAACCAACAAGGTCCTTCTTCAGGGATGTTTGTCAGTGTGCCATAGGTCTCGCCTTGGTCTTATTTTTCGGCTCCCCTTAGGTACACTTGATGATTAACTTTACGTGACAACTGGCTGGACCATGGTGCCCCAGCATTTGGCAGATCACCCTCCATAATGTGGGTGGGCCTTACCAGATAAGCCACATGACAAAGACTGATTCCTCCCAAAGCCAGTACACTGCCTTGGGGCCTTTGCTGCGGCTCGTACCTAAGCCTCCAGGATGTCTGCCATCCCTCAGACTTTGGATTCACCAAGCCTCCAGTAATGTTTGCCGATTCCCTGAAAACTTTTTCTCTCACTGGTCTGTCTCTCTGGGTAATCCTGACTAAGACACACATTTTCTCTTTCACTCTGTTTCCTAAACACCTCAGCAATTCCTCTAGACTCCTAACGTCACTGTTGTATCCAAGTAAATCCCCACTGTTTAACTTCATGTGCGTTTGATGTCTTTAAGAGGGCTAGAGAAGAGACTAATTCTGGCTGAAGAGTCAATCTTCTTTACCTCCTCCTGCCCCTCCCTCTTTAGGACATAAATCATAATTAATATACATCTATTGCCAATAAATGAGCCTGAGAACACCAAGGGCAAAAAAAATCTAAGCAGGTAAAGGCCAGGGAAGGAGATCAACTGTGACTTCTGCATTGAATTAGAGAATGATATATGCCATTAAGAATGCCCAAATGACGAAAGGTCAGATCCAGGCAAACAAAAGAAAAGGTTCAGCTTACCCCTCGAAGCAGTGGGCGACCGTCAGAACCCACTTCTTGGCAATGAGGACACAACCGCAAATGTGCCCGCTGGGTTCACTCTGCAGGGAACACTGCCAGGGCCACCTTCCCGGGCGACTCGTCCGACCCCCGAGAATCCTCTTGTTCATCCGGGCAGCAGGGCGGCGCCCACAGTCTACCAAGGAGCAGGAGAGGACAGACAGATGTGACTCACCGCCAAACCCAAGGGGATGCCTGCATCTTCGCTGTCATGCACAAGAGATCATTTCTCCCCCTGCGTGAATCCAGTTAGGTTCATACACCACTGTTACACCACGAATTCTCTCACCTTGTTTAGTACACAGAAGAGAAATCTTACTTCTGCTGTAACAGGACTGCCTAGATTTGGAAACAAAAAAATGGCATAATATTAAGTTATGTTTTATTGTTCACTTCAAACACTTTACCAGTGGAAAGCAAGACACAGGTTGTACTTAAGACAGGAATTCTCACGACAGGGCTGTCGCCAGCTCTCACTTTGGGTGGGGGGTGTGGAAGGCTGTGCTTTTTTAGTGTATTTAACATCATGATGATATGATTTCACCTTTGTGGGAAGAGGAACTACAGTCAGCCAGGTTTCTCACATCACCGTAGCTGTTTGCACCACCCGGAATATAAACTCAATGATTTTCAAAGGACGGAGAGGAAAAGGAAAGGAACTAGTCTGCTTCTCAGGATGTGTGGCGAGGAGGGCGCGTGTCAGACTTTCATGCTTATGGAGAGGGCATGTGTGTCCAAAAGAAACAGAAATGGTTTGAGAGAAATAAGTATTACTTCAAAAGTTAGAGAACAGACAAAGGAACTGAATATTTAGACTAGACGAGAATCTTGTAGAGACTTCATTACCTTTTAGAAAACTGTAGTTGATTTACAATATTGTGTTGGTTTCAAGGATACAGCACTGTGATTCAGTTATTTTTCTGATTATACTCCATTATAGCTTATGATAAGATGTCGAATATAGTCCCTCCTGCTATACAGTAGATCTTTGTTGCTTATCTGTTTTATGTACTGTAGTTTGTACCTGTTAATCCTATAATCCTAATTTGTCTCTCCCTGCTTCCCTTTCACCTTTAGTAACCATACATTTGTTTTCTATGTTGCTGAGAACTTTCAGTGTTAAACTATGTATCTATGATTAGCTGACAGGAAGAAGAGGGATTAAATTCATGCCATGTTACTCTAGGTGGCAAGATCAGAATCAATAGGTGGAACTTATAGAAACAGTGCATTCAGGAAAGCAAAGCTTTTTAAAAATTAGAGTTAAGTTTTGAAGGAAAACACATGGCCATGTTTAAGCATCTATCAATGTGGCTGCACAAGAGAATTCAGTTTAGGGTGTGATAAGTTTATATCACAAGGTTCTCTTCTAAGCATTTATTCTACAATGCAAATTTAAAGGGAAAAAAACCACTTTGAGACTATCAAATATACTAGGATTTGCTTAGAATCCTTGATCTGTCAGAAAAAAAAAAAAAACCCTAAGTATTAATTTCCACATTCTTTTTTGAAGACCTGCTATATTTTCTTTTGTTGCTAAATTTGCATGGGGATGTGTGTACACAATAAATTATATAATACAGAAAAAGCACATACATGTTTTACCTTCCCATAACCTGAAGTCCCATCTCCTCCTCACTCCCTGTCTCATTATCCTTAGTTTCTTTGTAGCACTTCCAAATATGTGAAATTCATTCTGTTTGTTATTGTTTATATACTCTCTCTTTTCACCTCTAAAGTGTATGTTTCCTGAGACCAGGGTTCTTGTTCCCCTCATCACTTCTACATCCCCTCAGAGCTCAGCAATAAGCCTGGCATAGAAAAGATAGCAATACTTAGCTGTTATCTATTAGATCTTAAAATTATAGCTTTTAGGAATAGGGAAAGATCAAAGACTATCTGTCTTAACTCTCATTTTAAAAGGAAATTGAGGTTGTGTGGGATCACACCTCTAGGTAGTAAGGCGGGACTAGAATTAGATCCACTGACTCCCAATTTCTGACTTTATCTATCTCTCCATCTATCTATCCACCTACCAACCTGGAAGGCCTTTCCTGGAAGTTCCAGTTTGGGAAAACAAACCACTCTGTTGGAAGATTCAGGTCATTGTTTTGGAGGAAGTGCTTCAGTTGACAGCTTTTCAGAAATTTGGTCACAGTTCTGTCTATAGGGAAAATGTCAAGACATCTAAAGAAAAATGACCCACCTTTTAATTTTCTTCTTTGAAATTCTTAAGAGGTGGTTTCTCTAGCACTAATTAAAAGCTTTGGAGTCATAAAAACTTGCTTTGAGTTCAGAGAATAGCACTTACCATTTGTGGGCTGTGAATCTGAGCAAGTTTTATGTAAATATTCTATAGCTATGTCCCTATAATGTCATAATCACTAAATGTGTTAATTCCCTCAATGGATCTTTCTCCTGCACCCCTGCCCATAGATGAGGGAGGCAACACTTTTTAACATTCCACAATTTTTTTTAGGGGAAAGTTTTCAGAAGTGAACTTTTGAGGTTACTTGATTACAATTTCTTTGTGTGTCTGTTTTTCTCTCCGACTCTCCGAGTTTTATCAGCTGTCATTACTTGAATTTGCTCTGTTAACTAGTTGCATGTAGGAAGTGCAGACATTAAGAACTTACTTCAAGCAGGATGTGAAAACACTCCAATATTAGAACCCAAGTTCCTACTCCTACCCTATGATAGTTTTTGTAATTGTAATTTAAAAATGCAATTAGCCAAAAGAAAAAGATGTATGTCTACAAAGAAGGAAGAAAGCCAAATGATGTTGAAATACAAATGTCCTTAGGTAGCCCATGGATGTTCCTCTTTGATGTGACACATTTAAATATCTTAGATTTGAAACAGAAGCAGGGCCCTTATGATAGACCTTAGATCCATAATCCACTCTACACAGCTCTAGTGATGGGTTGTCTTACCCTTTTACCAGTAGTTCATGCAAAGTTGTTGCATTAAGGCTCTCCCAGTTGGAGTGTAATGTAAGCCACTGTTGGTCTTGCTCCCGTTCCTCTATCAATTTGGTCACAGATGGTTCCCTAATAGAAAGACAAATACCAGATAAATATTCTAGCACAATGATCTTTGACCAAGCAATATCATCATTGAGAACTTACTTTCAGTGGTAAAGAATCTGCCTGCCAATGCAGAAGACGTGGGCTCAAGCTCTGGCTCAGGAAGATCCCCTGGAGAAGGACATGGCTACCCACTCCAGTATTCTTGCCTGGAGAATCCCATGGACGGAGGAGCCTGGGGGCTGCGTCCATGGGGTCAGAAAGGGGTCAGACAGAACTCAGCAACTAAACAGCAGCAAGAACAGCTCTTACAAAAGAGAAGCATTGAATTAACAGTCAGTATTCCAAGAGGGGGACTAGTACTCAGAAAGTTTGCTATGGAGTGTGGTCAGTAAGAGAAGTTACTAAAAGTATCCTGAAGCAATAAAGATCCACAGTGTTAGCGCTATTTTAGTAACTCTCTGCTGGAATACATTTGTACATCTGAGGTGTTGGAATTCTAATATATGCCATGTAAAAGCCAACACCTGAAAAACAAGAGCAAGTTGAGGCAGGAATCAAAAGTAAATAAAATTTACTTGCCTGGAGTATTTTTTTATCTTCTTTTCTTATCTAGTGTAATCTTACAATAAGTAATAAGTAGAGAAAATCAATGGCCATGTAGTGTCTGTTTAGAGAGTATAAAATTGGAATTGGAATTTTTTCAACATACTGGAAAGTCTTTATGCACTAAAAATTAGGAAGGACTCTAGAAAGCAGAGATGGGGTGAGCATCATTTTGCTCTTTACCTATATTTTCACTCAGCTTCCACCAGTACTCTGCTGTGAATGCCTCACTCAGGTATAACATAAATACAGTTGCCCTGTACTCAAGCTTTAAAATTTTAAGTTTCAAAACTGTCTGGGTTTTTATGTAAAATATCCTATACTTCAAGAAATAGTTGGTTCACTTAGGTAATCCATATTTGAAGAATATCTTTCAGATCTTTTTCACCAGATGCTATCATGAGTTGATGAGGTGGTGGAATTCATTTTAGACAGGAGAAAGGGGTGTTCCTTCTGAATCTGGAAGAAAATAGGAGAGAAGGAAGTAGGTACTTGGATTTGGAGATGGGGAGAGAATTCAAGAGAATTCATGAGAGAATACAAATCAGATAATCAGATCAGTTCAGTTCAGTCCCCCAGTTGTATCCAACTCTTGTGACCCCCATGGACTGCAGCATGCCAGGCTTCCCTGTCCATCACCAACTCCCGGAGTTTACTCAAACTCATGTCCATTGAGTCAGTGATGCCATCCAACCATCTTATCCTCTGTCATCCCCTTCTTCTCCCACTTTTAACCTTTCCCAGCATCAGGGTCTTTTCAAATGAGTCAGTTCTTCGCATCAGTTGGCCCAAGTATTGGAGTTTCAGCTTCAGCATCAGTCCTTCCAATGAATATTCAGGACTAATTTCCTTTAAGATTGACTGGTTGGATCTCCCTGCAGTCCAAGGGACTCTCAAGAGTCTTCTGCAACACCACAGTTCAAAAGCATCAATACTTTGGTGCTCAGCTTTCTTTATAGTCCAACTCTCACATCCATACATGACCACTGGAAAACCATAGCTTTGAATAGACGGACTTTTGTTGGCAAAGTAATGTCTCTGCTTTTTAATATGCTGTCTAGGTTGGTCATAACTTTCCTTCCAAGGAGCAAGCGTCTTTTAATTTCATGGCTGCAATCACCATCTGCAGTGATCTTGGAGCCCCCAAAATTAAAGTCTGTCACTGTTTCCCTATCTATTTGCCATGAGGTGATGGGACCAGATGCCATGATCTTAGTTTTCTGAATGTTGAATTTTAAGTCAACTTTTTCACTCTTCTCTTCACTTTCATCAAGAGGCTCTTTAGTTCTTCTTCGCTTTCTGCCATAAGGGTGGTGTCATCTGCATATCTGAGGTTACTGATATTCTTCCCGGTAATCTTGATTCCAGCTTCTGCTTCATCCAGTCCAGCGTTTCTCATGATGTACTCTGCATATAAGTTAAATAAGCAGGGTGACAATATACAGCCTTGACATACTCCTTTCCCGATTTGGAACCAGTCTGTTGTTCCATGTCCAGTTCTAACTGTTGCTTCTTGACCTGCATACAGGTTTCTCAAGAGGCAGGTCAGGTGGTCTGGTATTCCCATCTCTTTCAGAATTTTCCACAGTTTATTGTGATCCACACAGTCAAAGGCTCTGGCATAGTTAATAAAGCAGAAGTAGATGTTTTTCTGGAACTCTCTTGCTTTTTCAATGACCCAGTGGATGTTGGCAATTTGATCTCTGGTTCTTCTGCCTTTTCTAAAACCAGCTTGAACATCTGGAAGTTAACAGTTTACGTATTGCTGAAGCCTGACTTGAAGAATTTTGAGCATTTCTTTACTAGCATGTGAGATGAGCGCAACTGTGCAGAAGTTTGAACATTCTTTGGCATTGCCTTTCTTTGGGATTGGAATGAAAACTGACCTTTTCCAGTCCTGTGGCCACTGCTGGGTTTTCCAAGTTTGCTGACATATTGAGTGCAGCACTTTCACAGCATCATCTTTTAGGATTTGCAATAGCTCAACTGGAATTCCATCACCTCCACTAGCTTTGTTCATAGTGATGCTTCCTACGGCCCATTTGACTTCGCATTCCAGGATGTCTGGCTCTAGGTGAGTGATCGTACCATCATGATTATCTGGATCATAAAGATCTTTTTTGCATAATTCTTCTGTGTATTCTTGCCGCCTCTTCTTAATATCTTTTGCTTCTGTTAGGTCCATACCATTTCTGTCCTTTATCGAGCCCACCTTTGCATTAAATGTTCCCTTGGTATCTCTAATTTTCTTGAAAAGATCTCTAGTATTTCCCATTCTATTGTTTTCCTCTATTTCTTTGCACTGATCACTGAGGAAGGCTTTTTTATTTCTCCTTGCTATTCGTTGGAACTCTGCATTCAAATGGGAATATCTTTCCTTTTCTCCTTTGCTTTTCATTTCTCTTCTTTTCACAGTTATTTGTAAGGCCTCCTCAGACAGCCATTTTGCCTTTTTGCATTTCTTTTTCTTGGGGATTGTCTTGATCACTGCCTCCTGTAGAAAGTTATGAACTTCCATCAGATCTAATCCCTTGAATCTATTTGTCACTTCTACTGTATAATCCTAAGGGAATTTATTTAGGTCATACCTGAATGGTTTTCCCTACTTTCTTCAATTTAAGTCTGAATTTGGCAATAAGGGGTTCATGATCTGAGTCACAGTCAGCTCCCGGTCTTGTTTTTGCTGACTGTATAGAGATTCTCCATCTTTTGTTGCAAAGAATATAATCAATCTGATTTCAGTGTTGACCATCTGGTGATGTCCATGTGTAGAGTCTTCTCTTGTGTTGTTGGAAGAGGGTGTTTGCTATGACCAGTGCGTTCTCTTGGCAAAACTCTGTTAGCCTTTGCCCTGCTTCATTCTGTACTCCAAGGCCAAATTTGCCTGTTACTCCAGGTATTTCTTGGCTTCCTACTTTTGCATTCCAGTCCCCTATAATGAAAAGGACATCTTTTTTGGGTATTAGTTCTAGAAGGTCTTGTAGGTCTTCCAAGAACCATTCAACTTCAGCTGCTTCAGCATTACTGGTCGGGGCATAGACTTGGATTACTATGATATTGAACATTTTGCTCTGGACTTGAACAGAGATCATTCTGTCATTTTTGAGATTGTATCCAAGTACTGCATTTCGGACTTTTTTGTTGACTATGATGGCTACTCCATTTATTCTATGGGATTCTTGCCTACAGTAGTAGATATAATGGTCATCTGAGTTAAATTCACCCATTCCAGGCTATTTTGGTTTGCTGATTCCTAAAATGTCGATGTTCACTCTTGCTATCTCCTGTTTCACCACTTCCAATTTGCTTTGATTCATGGACCTAACATTCCAGGTTCCTATGCAATATTTCTCTTTACAGCATTGGACTTTACTTCAATCACCAGTCACATCCCCAATGGGTATTGTTTTTGCTTTGGCTCCATCTCTTCATTCTTTCTGGAGTTATTTCTCCACTGATCTCCAGTAGCATACTGGGCACCTACCAACCTGAGGAGTTCATTTTTCAGTGTCCTACCTTTTTGCCTTTGCATACTGTTCATGTTTGGGTGTCTCCTGAGGAGATGCACGTCAGCAGTGGTCTGCCGCAGGGGCAGGGGCTCGGGGTGCAGCAGACTTGGGTATGGCATAAGCCTTCTTGGAGGAGGCCACCATTAACCCCACCAAAGAGCTGCCAGAACTTACACAGGACAAGGGAAACAGACTCTTGGTGGGCACAAACAGAATCTTGTGCACCAGGATGCAGGAGAAAGGAGCAGTGATCCCACAAGAGACTGACCCAGACTTGACCGTGAGTGTCCAGGAGTCTCTCGCAGAGGCGTGGGTCGGCAGTGGCAGGCTGCAGGGTTGGGGGCACTGAGTGTAGCAGTGCCTGCAGGGGACCTTTTGAAGGAGGTGACATTATCTTCATCACCTCCACCTTAGTTTGGCCTCAGGTCAAGTAACAGGGAGGGGACACAGCCCCACCCTTCAACAGAAAGTTGGATTAAGGATTTACTGAGCATGACTCCGCCCAGCCCAGCGAACAAGACCCAGTTTCCCCTTCAGTCAGACTCTCTCATCAGGAAGTTCTATAAGCCTCTGATCCTTCTCCATCAGAGGACAGACAGACTGAAAATCACAATCACAGAAAATTAATCAATCTGATCACATGGACCACAGCCATGTCTCACTCAGTGAAACTATGAGCCATGCTGTGTGGGGCCACCCAAGATGGATGGGTCATGGTGATGAGGTCTGACAAATTGCGGTCCACTGGAAGAGGAAATGGCAAACCACTTCAGTATTCTTGCCTTGAGAACCCCATGGACAGTATGATGATCAGATAGTCTCTACTTTTCATTTCAAGCAGGAGGGGAGACCCTCAGATAAAAGGTGTGGGGAGGGGCAGTGGCGGGGGGCGCAACGGCGAGGAAAGCG